CCTGGGCTCAAATGATCCACCCGCCTTGGCCTTCCAAAGTGCTGGGATTACAGGGATGAGTCGCTGTGCCCAGCCCAAACAAATCTAGATTTTAATGAAAAAAAAAAAACAAAACTAAAAATTTCCAGTTTTAAAAGGTGACTCAATTGCTTAATAACATGAGGTCAGTGAAACAAACTGCATATGGAGGCCAAGTTCAGTTCACACAGGGCACCAGTTTGGAATTCCTCTCAAGACAGCCTAACAGACCTTGTTTGCTTATACCTTGCCCAGGGTAGAGAATTAAAGATTTGAATTCAAGACGGTCTTTTATTCCAACTTTTGAGTCAGCAGATGATATTCATTATCACTATAAATAGTCGGTAACTTCCAGTAGTCTCAGTGGGCCTCCTTTCTGACCAGAAAGAGATCAAGTGGCTGTCCATCATTCAGCTTCTTCCTTTAAAGTTAAACTTTGGTTTTATGTTATTCTTTACAGAGTACTAATACTAAGATGAGCCCAGAAGTACAACCAATAATTCAAAAATTCTTCCCCAATACTACCCAATTATCCTTTCAAAGTTATATGGAGGCCGGGCACGGTGGCTCACGCCTACAATCCCAGCACTTTGGGAGGCTGAGGAGGGCAGATCACCTGAGGTCAGGAGTTCTAGACTAGCCTGACCAACATGGTGAAACCCCGTCTCTACTAAAAATACAAAATAAGCCGGGCGTGGTGGCGCATGCCTGTAATCCCAGCTACTCAGGAGGCTGAGGCAGGAGAATCGCTTGAACCCGGGGAGGGGGGAAGTTGCGGTAAATGGAGATCACGCCATTGGACTCCAGCCTGGGCAACAAGAGCGAAACTTCGTCTCAAAAAAAAGAAAAAAAAGTTAAATGGAGAATAACAGAGCTGTGTAAATAGTCACCAGTGTAGGAACCAATTTATGACACCCAAGAACACTGGAACTCCAACACTTTGGAACTGAAAAGGTTTTGGGACTGGACAGGTATTCTAGTCTTGCCAAAAAAAATCTAAGTTAGAAATCACAAAATGTTTTTGATAAGTTAAAGTTGCTGCCCACTGTTTACGGGTGGAACACATATGTTACTGAATGCACACAAAGGACACACAGATATGTCTGGTTTTGGCTTCAGGAGACTTGGGCAGAATTTGTCTGCCTAAGAAAACAGTCTCCTAGGAGGACCCTGAACTAATTTTCTATATGCTAAGTGAGAGTGCCTCCTTGCCTAGGCACTGTCACTTAGAATTAAATATTTACCTTCCCTTACAAGCCATCACTTTCTACCTAATATCTATGTATTTTCTGTCTTTGTTACAAGTCACCATTTTGATGCTGAGGGCATTGGGTAAAAAAATCTCTCCAGGGCAGGGCCACCATCTGTGCAGCCCCCATCCCACTCCTTTTTCTTGGAATGCAGTTTACAATGCACGCAAAGAGGTGGGACTAATGCTTTCTCAGGGTGAGATCTTATCAGATGAAGTGTATCAACTGCCACTAGTCAACTGGTTTTGACCTACAGAATGGGCAGTTTCGTGTGGTTCAACATATTACCACATGATCAAGAGGAACAGAGACATGAATGTTTAGAGAACACCAGCTACCTCTAGACCAGCGCTTGTCCAGTAGAACTTTCTGTGATGGTGGAAACCATCGACACCCACACTGACCGACTTGTGACTATCGAGCACCTGAAGTGTGGCTAATTTGACTCAGATATTGAATTTTTAATTTTACTTAATTTGAACTGTTTTAAACTTAAATTGCTACTTGTGGCGACTGTATTGGACAACACAGTTCTAGACAGTGGCTTTTTCAGGCAAGAACTAGGTCTCACTTGCAGTGTTTGAACGCCCACCACACAGGAGACCCTTGGTGAAAAAGATGAAATGAAAAACACCTTCTGCATTGCCAGATTTTCAAATGCCTCCCCACCTTCCTGCCACTGAAGCTCTTAATTTTGATCTTCAAGTTCTGTGTCTTCCCTTAGGTAATTACTGCCCCAGGAAGGTGGAGGTGTACGGCCAGGAGGGAACATGTGGAAGGCTGGGCCCGCACTGCCTAGCAACTAGGCAACAGGAACTGACCTGACAACCTCCTGACCGGCAGGGCCTCCACCTTCTCATCCACTGAATGGGTGACAACCATTCCTACCCTCTAGAACAGTTATTGTAAGGCCTAAATGTAAACCACAGTTGTGGAATCTGATTCTAAAAAGTGAACCTTAAAAACCAAGTTGGACTCAGCTTCATTTATGAGAATGAGACAGTTGGGAATAGTTTAACATGTTACGGCTGTCACCTGAAGTGATAATATTTATGATGTTATAGGCCCGGTCTTAACCACTGCAGGCCCAGCATGCACAGATGGACATCACAGTCCCTGCCTTCATCATTCTGACTTGACCATTATTTTTGTTTCTCCTGAAACAAGGTTTTAGCAAAGAAAAACTTGCTGTCTCAACAGAACTGTTGATCCTCTATGTGTCATTCATCTATTAGTTAAAATTCCTAGGGCTAAAAACACAAGAAGAGTCTGGGTCCCGACACTTTTAAAAGGTGTCCCTGCTACATAATAAACCAATACTCCAATCACTGGCATTCAACCATTTAAACTGAGTTTGGTGCCATGTAATTATTGCAGCCTGTTGAGTTAGGGCTCATTTCAGCAAAGAGCATAATTGCTCAAATGTGACTTGATTTAAGATTTATTTAAAACTCTCCCATCACCAAAAAATATTCATACACCATACCACTGTAACTTCTTAATCTCTCTGTAAATGTTCAGAGACAGATTCCTAAGTATGAAAGGTAAGAGTTGTTACAGTGCCTAGAGCTCTAAACCTCTGCTTCTAAACCCCAAGATCCCTTTCTGGTCTCCCTTCCCCCAACCTTAGCCTCCTCCAGGCCTCCACTGGCCCAGGAGCCCTGCAAGCCGGCTTTGCGGTGCTCCATGCAAAAGGAAAACTTCACCTACTAGGAGGTCTGCCCCCGCCTTTGCTTCAACAGAGAGGGAAATGGCACCTCCAGGACCTCAGAACCGGAAGCTTCTTTCTGGAAGGGAAAGAGGTTGGCAGATCATAGTGGGAGTGACCTTTGGCAAGTTCATAAACGAGTCAAGACATCACACAGTAAGTGGCATGCTGCAGGGTCACAGATTTCTCTAGGTGTCAGATTAACAGGAAGTTAAATCAAACAAGGAGAGTGAGGAGGGAGGCAGGGGCAGTGGGAGAATGTCCCCCAGCTGCACAGGGCCGGGTAACATTCGCAGTTGTTCTTCCTGCGAGTGCCGGACAGACGTCCTGGGTCTCTGGGGACACCCAGTTCTGAAGAGGTATCTAATGTGACATGTGAGGCCCTACTAGACCTATTTCTCCAAATTCCTGAAAATGCCATCCGGATGGCCCCTACCCTGAAGGTTTCAGCACACAGAGTGAATAGCTGAGCAGTGACGTGAGAGGCTCCCCAGGTCCCTCAGAGTTTCATTTCCTTGGTGCTTCTCAGTCTCTCCTAACCTCTGACCTCCCAGAGTAATTGCCAAATTGCCTTCTGTTTGTACAAGGTCCCAGCACTTCCCGGCGTGGCTCCCTACCCTGTGAGTGGGTGGTGCTGTCTCCAGGCCACAGATAAGAAACTCGGGTTTATAGGGGCCATGGGACCTGCGAGTAGGCGGCCAGTACGTGGCCCCGGGTGTAGAACCCTGGCTGTGCTACTTCTGCAGCCCCGTGCCCGCCGCAGTGCCGGAGCCAGGCCCCACCTCCCTCCCGTGTCCCGCACTTCCCTACAAACGCATCCCAACTGAACAGCCAACACTTGTGGCTCCTTCCTACAAGTGCTGGGTCTCCACAGCTTTTCTCGCAAATCGAAGCCAACAGGAGCCCCGATTTGCAGACGGGGAAATGGAAACCCCGAACGAAACAACTTGGTCGGTGTCACCCTCGCAGGCCGGGACACTGTAGAGCTAAAACTCGCGACTTATCACCCGGGGATGGGGTTCCTGAAGCATCGCGGGCGCCCCACTGGAAGCGCAGACCCCGGCCTGCCTCCCCTACTCAGGGCGCCGCGGGGAAGCCGGGCGGGCCGGGGCGGGCGCCAGGCCGGGTGCCAGCGCGTTTGGCCGGCCCGGAGGTGTCCGCTTCCGCCCGGGGCTGGCACCGCCGGCCCATTCATCGTGGCCGCGGGCGGGGCGGGCCGGGCCCCGGATGCCCTCGTCCCCCCGCCGGGAGCCCTCGAGCCAGGCTCCGCGCCGCCTAGTCGGGGAAACGGTGGCCCCAGCCCCGCCACCAGGGGGAGCAGGGAGCCGCCTCCCGCACTCCGGGAAGTTGCCACCGCGGCCGCCCGGCGTCCGTGCCATGGACAGACCCCGGGTCCCGGCGCCGCGAGCCCTGCGACCCCGGCCCGCCCCGTCGGGGGCCGTCCCAGCTTCGCGAAGCACCAGCGGGCCGCGGCCCGGGACCGGCGCGCTCGGCCCGTGGGCCCCCATTCAATCCCGCCCTCCTCCCCTCGGCCGGCCTCAGCCGCCTTCCGCCCGCACCCCCACCCCTCCGGCCCGGACTCCAGCCCGGCAACGTCATCCGGCTGCTTCCCGAAACTTAACCCCTTCCTCCGCCAGCTGTGCGCCGCCCCGCCCCGCCGCCAACTTTTTTCGCCCAACTTCGCAGCGCGCTGGCCGGACCGACGGCCCTGCCGGGAGGGAGAGAGGCAGGGAGGGGTCGCCACGTAGCGCCCTCCGGCCGCCGCAAGTCCCCCGCCGGCGAGGGCCGCGGGGTCCACACCACGGGGCGCGCCCTGCCTACGCCCCTGCACGGCGCTCGCCCGGCACCCCCGCCCCGAGTTAGACCCCGACCCCGATGGTGCACGGCCGCGGCGGCGGGCGGCGGGCGGGCCGGGGGAGGGGCCGCCGAGGAGACGTGTCACTCGCGGCGCAGCGCGGCCGGCCCCGGCCCCTCGACGGCCCGGCCCGCGCGCGGCAGCTGCAGGGCCCGGCCAAGTTTCTTACCTGCAGCCAGAGACACGAGAGGGAGAGCGAGAGGGCAGGAGCCGCCGCCTTCGCCGCCGCCGCGGAGCCGGGAGAGAGGAGCCGGCCGAGCCTCCACCAAGAAACCGCCCCCGAGCAGCTGTAGACGCCGCGACCCTGACGCCGCCCGTCCCGTCCGCCGTCCGCTCCGGCCGCTCGCTGGCTGCGTGCGCGCGTGTGGAGTCGTGGCACTTTCTGCCTCGGAGCTGGCGAACGGCCCCCTCCGCCGGGATCGCCGCCTCCTGCCTTCCCCACCCGGGCCAGCCATTCATCGAGCCGCCTCTTCCTATTGGTCCGCACCCCGCCACTCTGTCTGTAGCTGACCAGTCAGGACGCGGACGGCCGAGCCGCGGCGGCGGCCATTGGGCAGAGAGGAGGGTCTCCACCTCGGCCAATGGGAGAGAGGAGGAGCTGCAGGGAGGTGAAGGGGGCAGGGCCGGGGAGGGGCGGGGCCGAGCGGCGCGGCGCTCGGCTGTGCGCGGGGCGGGGCGGAGCAGGAACTCCCCGCCCACCGAGGGGGGGGTCTGCGGCCAGCTACGCCCACTCTGGGCCCGCGGCTCTCCCAGCAGTCTATGAGCCGGCTTTGCCTAGGCGGGAAGCAGAAGGTTCGGGTCCCGTCGGCCCCAGGCCTGCGCCTCTGGATACCGCTGGGCTGACATGGTGGTGGCTGAACAGGGTTGCGCAACCGCGAACAGCCAAGGAAACTGCGTTATTTAAACCCAACTAACTTCCCCCGAAGCAGCGCCCCCTCGGGCCGCGGGGTATGAGGACAAGCTCTGCTGGGGGTCAGCCCAGGGAGGACGAGTTCTTATCATCGAAGAGATTGCAATCAGCACCAGAAGGAATTTCCTTGAGTAAATGGAGGAATTGGGGTGGAAGAGCCAGAAGGTGCACAAGGAATTGAAGCGGATGTCATCGCCCTCGTTGTTAGGGAGGGTACAACTGAGGCACGGTCTGTTTAAGATACTCATCCAAACCACAGCCGGCAAAGCAATAATTACAATTCCCTCTGTGGCCTTTTATTCCATGCGATGGGGAAGGTGAGAGGTTCTGACCTAAGAAAACTCACCCGTGTCACACAAAACGGAGCAACTGGTACTTCCTCATTCCCTAACTTTCTCCCCAATATCAGCCAACACTCAGTCTTCATAATCAATCAAGTCTTTAAATTAAAATAATTTGAGGCTTGATTTTTAACCATTATGTCAGCGTCTCTTAAAGCCAACCCTTTGAACATAAGCCAAAGACAGCTTCTTTGGAATTTTGGATTCTGAGAGACCAAAGGCTGCCTAGACTGCCCCCCATCACTTCCCCAGCTCCCGTTGCTGCAGAATCCCGTACCTAACATCTATTTCTTGGATAATTTTCAATCTTCCCCGCCCCCATTTGTCACTAGTACTGTACTAGCTGTTGTTAGAAAGATGTGAAAAATACAAGCCTTCATGGGGAATAAAGAGGGATTGGGTTGAAATTAAACTGTTCATTCCTATTTTTAATCTTGGCGGTTCCTTAGCCCATTAATGATTAATCAACAGGAATTAACCTGGATTAACTCTGGAACACTCAGTCATTTTCCAGCAGTGAGACCCGGCTTCAAATGAAAGTTAACAATCCCAGCTTCTGGCTGGCAATTGCTACCAATGAGTCCTACTTGACCAGGGCTGGGCCATCTAGCCTTTCTGAACATACCCTGGAGGGTATACTCCTCTGGACAATCACTCCTTCCTCTGGGTTTTAGGGAGGAAATTCATTCATTCATTCATTCATTCATTCATTCATTCACTGGTGTTTGTGGAGTGCCTGGTATACAGTGCTAAGCTGGGCAAGCAACCTAGAGTGACACATAGGTCCAGTGAAGACCCAGCTGCCCTCAAGGGCCTGTCCAGGGTCAGGGACCTCCTTTATCCTGTTCACTGTTTATCTTTTCCCAGAAGCAGATCTTGGCAGTGGGTTTTGTTCAATCATTCATTCGGGGGATAATCATAAGAAACACTGGTGGAGGAGTGGGATGAGAAAGAGCCAGTAAGAGGACCAACATCAAGCCTGTGACTGGTGTGGGCACACAGGGCTTGGCATCTCTGGGGATGCTGTGAAACTGTGTAGAACACACCCCAGAGATGTCCCAGCTGAGGGGTGAGGACCTGGTTATTTGTCCACCCACTCCCAGTCCTCACTGGTTAACAGCTCCTTCTGGGGGGACTTTAACCCCTGCGCCTACTCAAGCTGGAGAAAGCCTTGCAGCAAGAGGCCCTTGGCAGAATGGTGAGTGTCCAGAGGCACGTCAGGGGCCACAGCAGTGTCTCCCACACTGTGAGCCAGCATCTGACACAGCACCTGCACAGAATAGAGGCTCTGTGAATATACATGTTCTGTAAATATTGTCCCATGAGCGATAACATTACAAAGTCCTTAGGAGTGAGGAGTGTTTACAGAAAAGGGACTCCCTGTCTAGTCCCTCACATAACTTAACATTTGATTTGGCCTCAACACAATATTTGTTTCGGGATGGAAGAGCAGCCCTGTCTAAGCCTTTGCATTTCCTCTGTCCCTGCCCCTTGTCTGCCCACAGTCAGCCCCAACGTGCTGTGAAGACTTCCAGCCTCATCATCCTCATGCCCTTTGAGCAAAGAAATCAGTCCCGCTGTACCAGGCTCTGTCAGGGCTGATTTGCCCACCCTCAGGGTGGCCCGACTTTGACAGCCACTGATGTGCCTGTGGACACCCATCTTTAACTCCCTGTAGCCTCCTCAGCTCTTCCAAGGCATATCTGGGAGAAACCAGATTCATCCCCAGGACTAGAAGGACAGGGGTTGCCTGTGGCAGGAGTGAGAGGCATCCCCCCAGGCTCAAGTCTTCTGCTAAATCATGCAGCCGTCCAGCAGCGTGAGAAAGCCCATCCCACAGTCCAGCCTCCAGGCTCTAGCTGCCCAGTGCCAGATTCAGGCCACATCCTAGGAAACAGGTCCCTGCCATCCCCCAATGGCAGTGCAATGAGGGGCTCTCAGATGGGCACAGGTCATTTCAACTCAAAGTCAGCGGTTGGGAGCCCCTGGCCAGGGGAGTTACCCCACCCTGAGGGTAGCAGAGGGTGACAGCAGAGGCTTGAAGAAGTGGAAGGTAGTCAGGCCAAAAAGGGCACACTGGCGAGGAACAGCATGGGTAAAGTAAGGCATGATGTTAGCCAAGTGTGGTGGTGTGCCCCTGCAGCTCCAGCTAGCAGCAGGATTGCTTGAGCCCAGGAGTTCCAGGTTGGAAGAAGAAGGAGAAGGAGAAACAGGAGGAGGAGAGGGGGAGGGGGGGTGGGGGGGATGATCTGAAATCACATCATCTCAGTTTATCTATTGAACAACTCGGTTGTTGGCAAAGCCTGAACGGTGAAGGAGAGGCTGGGAAGAGCTGATTCTACACAGGTGATCATAAGGGAAACAGGGAACTTCCCTGGGGTGGTGCAGATGTTTCATATCTGGATTATAGTGATGGTTACATGGCTGTGGTAAAACTCATCAGATTGTACACTCTTAAAAAGGATACATTTGGTTTGGAAGCAAATTATGCTTCAATCAACCTGACTCAAAAAAAGGAAGCATTTGGTTTTAGTTGCATATTAAAAACAAAGCATTATTATTAGAAAAAATTAAACATACAAGAATAATTACCTAATATGGTCCATTAACTCATGACAATAAATTGCAAATATTATCTGAAAGCGTAGACAGAAAGATGAGAATCTATTATATCTTACAATTTAAAAAGAGATTTTGCTTTGTCAACAATGATGAAAAGATGACAAATGACAAGTACAATAAAATATGTGAAAATAAAAGCCACTGTGATAATATAGAACATGTTTAGGTCTCTTGTGCCAGGTACCATTTGAGACATGCTACAAATATGTAAGGTTATTTAACTCTCAGTATAACCCTATAAGGGAGGCAGAGTTATTATTTCCATTTTAGAGATGAGGAGACTGAGGCACAGAGCGATCAAGGAACCTGTCTATGTCACAGGGCTCGTTGGAGGAGGAACATTGGGCCCCAGGGCTCATGGCATAACTCTTGCATTCAGCACCAGGTCGCCGAAGGTGTGCTGTGCCTGTAGAAGGGGCAAGGTTCGAGCCTAATACTTTGAGAGTGGCAACTCAAGGAAGGTTTGTGATTGATGACAGCTGCGATGACTCCTTTGCCATTCTATATTTTGGGTGGATGCTAGGTTTGGGGCCCACAGGGTTGGAAGACCCACAATAGCTCAGGTGAGAGGTGACAAGGGCTGGAATGGGGCAGTGGCAGGGGTAGGAGGTGCAAGGTCCTTCAGGAGGGGTATTAGGACATGAAGTGGTAGCAAGTGAGGCTTGGGGATCAGCAGGTGTGAAGGAGAGAGGGGTTACCTGTGAGCCCCTGCTTCTGGCCTGAGTGATAGGGAGCATGGTGGTGTCACTGCGGGAGCAGGGCACACAAAAGAATGAACAGGTCGAGTACAGAAGCTGGGGGAAACGTTGTATTGTATTTTGACATGTTGGATTTCAGGAGCCTGAGGAAAATCCAGGTGGAGACAGTGTTTCTGTAGGTCTGAGGCTCAGGGGTTGATGTCAGGGTCAGCGATGCAATTAGGAAACCTAAGCATACCCTTGGAGGTTCAGACCCCAAGAACAACAGATATGACCATACCCAGTGGATAGCATGTGAATGGGAACAGGAGAAAATGCTTGAGTCCTGAACAGAGAAAGGAAAAAACCCACGAAAGAGTATGTAACAACCAGCTTTTGCTACGTAACAAGCTACTCCCAAACTCAGTGGTTTAAAACAAGTATGGTTTATTGTTAGAGCTCACACATCTGTGGGTCAGCTGAGGCTTGGCTGGTCTTGATTGGCTCACTTATAGGTCTGTGGATGGCCCGGGAGCTCACCTCCAGCCTGGGCTTGACTAGGGCACCTTATAAGCTCTTCTGCACCTGGCTCACCCCCTCTTCCTGTGATCAGCAAGCTACAAGGGGCATTCCCTTCTCGTGGTGATGGTTGAAGGAAAAGAAAATAAGCAGAAATACATATACAAGGTATATTGGATAGGTGAGCCCAGATTCAAGGGGTGGGAAATACAGGGAGGGGTAAAGCAATGGCACCAGTGATGCAATCAACTACTGAGTCCAAGGAGAGATGGAAAAGGTAAATCAGGTGAGGATGGCCTTAGTGAGGCAAGAGAGTTTCAAGAATTGGGGGATGGTAAGCGCTGTTAAATGTGAAAATCCAG